CACTGTAACAAGGATCGCTTGGGATCACGATCCTGCAAAATAGCATGATGCACCCCGCCCTAAGATTTCCGTTCTGGAGAGCGCAGGATGACAGAATCCGTTCTGTGACAGCAGATGAAACAGCAGGAGCTCTATGGTATTAGAAGGTACTTCTGGTACTAACCAAAGAGAAAGGAACGTCAAAGCTGTAACTCAGAGACTTCCCTTGCTCCTGAAATATACTGTCTTCTGGGTCCGGGCTACAGCTTGCTTCAACATCGCGGAAAGGGATTGCGGCTATGTTGCGGAAAAGTTGAAAAAAGCAACTTTTAAGATACCTGCCTTCCGCAACATTCAAATCATGGACGAGTGCTGCGGTCCTGCGGAAACGGCAGTCACTCGAAAGTTGCTTGACAGTTGCATTTCCGCAACATTTCAAACACCTGTGCAACACCGCTTAAGCGGTGCTCGAGGAGCTGTAACGTTGAGCACACTTGTTCGTAGTAATACACAACCATAGAATTTCGGATGAATATGGATCGCACGTGCAAAGCTACGTCAGGCTCACAGTTTCCGCACTAGCGTTCAGTCGACTCACAGCGGTACCGGTGCCGTCATGAGTGCTAAGGAGTGAAACACTACCATGTTTCAGTGAAAAGATAAACTTCAGCGATGGTTTGTGCAAAGTTCCTTATGTTGAATTTCAAACACTGCTGTGCACGGCACGGCACGCACTGGAGTCGAATGTTGCGAGAGGCAGGTATCATAAAAGTGACTTTTTGTTACTTTTTTTTTGTCGCGATGACTGACCTGCCGTCAGCGCAAAGACATATTGGTGCTACGTCTCTCGGAAATGAAAGCTTCGGGATTTGACCTTAAAATACGGCTTTCTGGCGTCGCTCTCGCACCCTTGAAAAGATCTCCTTCTTGCTCGTCCACACACTCTCAAAGCTCACCTCGAGCGCCCACAGGCTTTCAACTCGAAAAGAAAAGAGGTCACCAAATTTTTCTTGACTAGAGTCTCTCATACACAACAGAGGAAGCTCCTACTAGGAGTAATGGTTCTACATTCCCTACACACGATGCCCGGTTGAGCCCCACCTTGCCTTACCTTCTGGGCTTATAAGCGATTCTTGCGTTTCGCGGAGGTTTCGTCAATTCGCTTCGGGCAAAAAGGGCTTGTAAAAAAACTTATGTAACTTACCGTTGACTGTTTCACTGCAGTCTCTTCAGTCAGACTTCAGTTTCTGTGGTTCGTATTGGTCGACGTGCTTGTAACGTGAGTGCAACCTCACGGCAAAAAACCCACGGGTGCAGGGTTTCCATCCGGTAAATGAAATTTCGCGTGCAGGGGGTGAGCATCATGTGTATCAGCCTTAGGTCGATGTGGAGCATATCATCACGATGATCGTCTGTCGAAATTCTACCGCCATTCAGCTTACCATCACCAGCTGAGTTTTCGAGGGGAGCGCACGAGACGGGAGTTTGTGAGGATCACAGAATAGAATCATGATCAGGGCATGTTGGCTCCTGGCAAGTTGGAACCTCATCTCGGGCAGTTGGGAGTTGCTGGGGTCGGTCGAAAGGTGAGGCTAAAGTAAATCAAGAAGGTGAGGCTAAAAACTGGTGAGGAAAAAAAAATGCAAAAAAATGACATGCAAACCCCGCTCTCCGTCTCCCTTTTCCCACTCCCTCCACTCTCTTTTCTTTAGCGCGCTGCTTCCTTTCTACAGTACCCCACATTTCGGCAAACCCACCTTCCCATGTTTGTGTTCGTGAAATGGATCGCATTGTCTCCCACGCAACACGGAACTGAGCTGAGAAGGGAAAAAAAAACTGCACCCGTGTAACACCCTATTCTCGATAATTGCACACCCCCCTACCCCCTATTTCGAAGGTACCCTGTACGTTTTCTGGCTCGATGTGACGGACACCCAAAGATTGACGAGGGTAGTTATTGAGTCTAGCACATTTTCCGAGTGAGTAGTAGGGGTGGATGGCTGCAATTGGAACTCCGGGTTCTTTTCTTCTATTCCCGAGAAGGTTGCGAGACCCTTCCTCCGATAGTCTACAATCGTTGCTTGCTACCCTACTTAAATGTTCAACCGAGAGTATCTACCCCAGGGTGTACGCTTAATGGGGTGTAAAATTATCGAGAATAGGGTGTACAACTGAGCTGAGTCCGCCGGCAATTGCCATTGGGTTGGGTGGGAGATCCTTCGATGTCCAGTCGGTGCCCATTTCAAGAACACCAGGTAGGCGGGCGGCATGTGCGTGAAACGTGTTCGAGTCATTTCGCCACATTCGCCCTTGTCGCCACGGGCAAAAAAGTGACAGTAATATGAAATTGCAACGTGAATCGATTTAAGGGTTTTAATTTCGTAACCAGGTTAACTTCTCTGATGACGGGCAACCGCTGTTGTTTATATACTGTAGATGTTTTTCTTCCTCAACTTGGTGACTGTACCCCGAAATCGGCACAATGGTCAATTTAGTCACTCACGGGCAAAACGTTCGCGAGTGACTAATTTTCTAATTGTGCGGAGCAAATGTTCTGTGATAGGCTGAGCATCGACTGTAACTGAGGAGCAGCAGCATCTGCTTGGAAACAGTTGGCGCTGTCTCAACCGACAGCTGGCCTGTTCTGGATGAATGGGAGCCAGCTGGACCTTTCTGAGAATCTAATCCATCGAGCAACCCGAGAACCTGTAGTAGAGCAATCGCGGTTTGGATGGGAAGGGATGTGGTGGTGCGGCAAGCTCCAGTGGCGCTGCGCGAAATAAACCTATCACTTACATTAGACGTACTAACCAGTGGGGTAGTGTACAAAATCTATACGTATTACAAGTAATAACACATAAAACGGAGGTGCAAAGAATCCCCCATCCCTAGTGCCAAGTCAATGTAGTCTGCAGTCAGTAGAAACTAGTCATATAGGAGAAAAAAAACATGCATACGACCTGGTAGTTGTGCATTAGCACGCGTAACGTAGTGCCTAGTAAGAAAGTGTCACTGGGACTGCTACGACATAAGTTCCAGCAAGAAAACAAGCGCAAGCAGTCATCGTGCATGAACACTCGCCTGCTTCACAGGGTTGAGGGTCGAATTTCAAACCATGCTAGTTGCCTGTGTCGTGGCATGCTTAAGCCCATACAAGTAAAATCACACATGAGGAACCGGTATGCTCACATTGCTGCCAACCAATCAAGAACAAAACAGGGCATGTGTGTTGAATTATATTGCATATCCTAACTGCCTACAGCTTGCTAGTGTATTAGTTAGTTATTAGGTTCAACTGCTGGTGGTGTACCCTATCCTCTCCCCTATCCTATATCTTGTAAACATTCCTTAGTGAATCCTCTCTTTGCCCAATTCTCTTGCCATGCTCACTCTCGACACTCACGCTTCCTAGGTAAACCCTAAGTTACTAAGTCAAGAGTTAAGAGCGTGTTCTGACAATGTGCACTGCACAAGCATCGTGAACGTAGCATCAATTGCCAATAATGATTGCCAATGCCACACACTATCAATCCGATCATGCTACAGGATTGGGCATGCGCACATGTGCGAGAACCTTGGCCAATAGCGAACCATCAGCTATCAACAATAGCTGCCTAACCACAAACTAATGGTCCCATCATGCTTCAGGAATGGGCATGCACACATGTGCGAGAACCTTGGCCAATAGCGAAGCATCAACGGAGAACCGGGTAGCTAAGGAGTCAATGCCGGCACCCACAGGGCCGCTGCTGCTGCTGCTGCTGCTGCTGTCACCACCGCCCCTGCTGCTGTCCCCACTGCCCCTGCTGCTATCCCCACTGTTCTGTGCATGTAGAGCGAGCAATTCCTTCAGCTGAACCAGAGTAACTCTCCCAGACAAAGGCTTGTCACCTTGAGCATCCCCTCTAGTCTGAAGGAGGGGAGTGTGGGGGAGGGGAGTGCATGTAGAGCGAGCAATTCCTTCAGCTGAACCAGAGTTATTCTCCCAGACAAAGGCTTGTCACCTTGAGCATCCCCTCTAGTCTGAAGGAGGATTATGGGATAGAGTGGAGGGTAGTGGAGAGGAATGCGAGGAAGGAAGTGTGAGGGAAAGCGATTCGCCCAAAGTGCTCGCACCCACCAGCACCTTTCAATCCACCTTCCTGCCCTGTCCCATCCCAAGGCGTTCCAACCCACCTTCTCTCTCCCCAAAGTGCCGATTCGCTGCTCCCTTATCGGCCCAAGCACCCCCTGCATTCGCCCTGGTTCCCACACATGCTCACACCCACCACCTGCACCTTTCAACTCACCTTCCTGCCCTGTCCCAAGGCGTTCCAATCCACCCGCCCTCTCCCCACCCCACGGTGCCAGCCGATTCGATGCTCCCTTATTCCCCCTACCACCTTCTGCTGCTGCATCGCCTCCCCCACATGCACACATACGCCCCGCCTTTCCACCCAACCCCTTTCCCCTCTTCTTAGGTGCTCCAACCCACCTGCTCTCTCTCCCTTATCGCCCCAAACACCTCCTGCATTTACCCTAGGTCCCATGCCCATCCCCCTCAACCCACCTGCACCCATCTGCCTGGACTGTCAAATCAACCCACCTGCTCTCGCCCCACGATGTCAATTCGGTGCTCCCGTATCGCCCCAAACACCTTCTGCATTTGCCCCTTTCTCCTGCAAGAATCCCCTCTTCAACGCACCTGCACCCACCTGCACCCACCTGCACCCACCTGCACCTACTTGCACCCACCTGCTCTCGCCCCACAGTGTCGATCCGGTGCTCCCTTATCACCCCAAACACCTCCTGCATTCGCCCCTTTCTCCTGCAAGAATCCCCTCTTCAACGCACCTGCACCCACCTGCACCCACCTGCACCTACTTGCACCCACCTGCTCTCTCCCCACAGTGTCGATTCGGTGCTCTCTAATCGCCCCAAACACCTCCTGCATTCGCCCTGGCTCCCGCACCCATGCCCCTTCGTCCCCCTCCCCTGCTGCCCTCCCCCCCTGTACGGGTACAGGATCGCCTGGCTCTATGATGGGCACTGGAGGGAAGGCGGAACGGGGGGATGATACAAGGGAGACACAGATTAGCGCCCATTCCCCCAGCTACATCCCCCTCGCTGCTGTTGCCCTCCCCCCCTGTGCTGGTACAGGTTCGCCAGGCTCTATGATGGGCACTGTGGGAGAGGAGGATGGGAAAAGGGAGGAGTGAGCGGAAAACAGAAAACTGAGACGTTTCCGTGATCACCCATCGCTCTCCCCTCCTGCCCCTCCTCCCCTGTGCGGGTACAGGATCGCCTGGCTCAATGATGGGCACTGAGGGGGGGAGGGGCGGGGGCGGGGGAAGGGGGGGACGAGACACTGGATCGCCTCCTGCAGTCTCCCCTGCTGCCCCCCCCCCTGTGCCGGTACAGGTTCGCCTGGCTCAATGATGGGCACTGTGGGAAAGGAGGGGGGGGGGGTGGGGTGAAAGAGAGTCGTGTTCTTGATCCCCCCAATCCAAGCACCTCCTGCATTCGCCCTGCGTCACCCGCCCATGCTCGCTCCCACATCCACCTCCCTGCTCTCGCTCTTTTGAGGCGCCTCAAAAGTCACCTCCCTGCTCTCGCTCTCCCCTGCCCCCCTCCCCCTGGCCAGGCAAAGGTTCGCTTGGCGCAATGATGGGCACTGGGGGGAGGGAAAGGAGAGGGAGGAAGGGGAAAACACAGAGAGCTGAGATTCAGATTCATCTCCCCCACCCTGCGATTATAGCTCTCCTTGATGAACAAGTGTCGTGTGCAATTGAAACGAGGTGACTTTTGAGTCGACTCAAGAGGGAGGAAGGGGGAAACACAGAGAGCTGAGATTCATCCGTGTTCAGATTCTGAGGTGCTTGGGGGGAACACAGATTCATCCCCACCACCCCCCAAGCAACTCCTGCATTCGCCCTGCGTCACCCGCCCATGCTCGCTCCCACATCCACCTCCCTGCTCTCGCTCTCCCCTCTGCCCTCCCCCCCTGTCCACTTACCGATAATGGGGCACTGCGGGGCAGGAGAGAGGGAAAAGGGGGGGGAATGGGGGGTGTGGAAGACGAAGGGAGGGAAGCAGGGAAAGGGAAACAGAGTGAGAGAGGGAAGGAGAAAACAACCCACACCCCCACATCCCCCTCCCTGCTCTCACCTTCTCCTTGCTTCCCTGTCCTGGGGAGTGGACAGAGTCGGGGGAGTGGGGTGGGTGGGTGGGCGGCGAAGGGAGCATCGGCGGAAAGAAAACGCTGCGTGGAGGAAGCATCGAGTTCATTTCGTTGTGGAAGAACCTAGAGCAGCCCACGTGTGATGCTGCGGATTTGCAGGGAGTTTTTTTAGAATTCTAAAAAACTCCCTGCAACGCTGCGCGGAGGAACGGCATCGAGTTCTTTTCGTCGTGGAGGAACCTAGAGCAGCCCACGTGCGACTTTTGAGTCGACTCAAAGGAAGCATCGAGTTCATATCGGCGTGGAGGAACCTAGAGCAGCCCACGTGTGATGCTGCGGATTTGAATGCGCCTAGAAAACAGCGCGTCGGATGGAAAAACGGCTCTAGAATGACCTGTGAGTATTCAGTAGCCTGATACACAGGGTAAAACTAGTCTCTGAACGTACTGGCTTCAGGTGGCGGCGGGCGCGACGGATAGTCCGACGACGGCCGCGGAGGTCCCGCCGGTCCTGCGGAGAACTGCCGATCCAAGGACGCGACTGGCGACTCTTGCCGCGTCGCGGAAACTAAAGGGACCGAAGCGGTCGCGCGGATCGCGCAGGAGCAGCGCAGGCGGAGGTGAAGGTTCGGAAGGACGACTGTCGATAGTCGCCTTCTGCTCGCGCAGGACGCCATGCGGCCACGTCGCCGAGGCAGTTTTGAGGCTCCTACGGATTCTATGGACGCTGCTAATGCCGCAAAGAGAGTAATTTGAGGAGAGCGGGGTAGAAATGGCGAAACTGAGATACAAGTTATTTATGAGTCCATGGCGTAAATGGCTTGCGGGGAGAATTGGAAAATAGATTCAAATCTGGCACTCTTGGTACTTTTGCGACACACAAACAAATCATGCGAAATAAAGACAATCTGGCGAACATCGACGAATCAGGAAACCAAAACCTTGGTAGCAGGTTTCTGGAGGTTCGAAGAAAACTTCGACGCTGCTGATTGGTTCCCATGTTGGTTTGCGGTGGTTCGCAGACCAATTACTTTCTCCGCCCAGCCTGTTGCCCCACACCGCCAGCCTCCCGAACCAACAAATCCCCTCCCCCGCCTCTCCACTTCTCCCCCCACCTTCTTCCCCTTCAGCTTTCCCCCCCGCCTTCTCCCCCTTCCCCCCAAAATTCCCCAGCCTTCCCCCGAGCGTGGCGGAGTTCCTGTGATTCAGTTTTCCTCCTGCTGGCAACCATTCCTTGCTAGACACCATTCTTTGCCAGGAGAGCCTGCTAGAGATCCCGTAACCCTAAGTTCCTGCTAGATTTCCTAGCTTCCAAAATCACGCTTTAGAGCGCTTCTCGTGTCCCGAGCACCTCACCATGACGGTCGCGCCCTTTAGCAAGGTCGGCCCGCCGATCTTCTCGGCTCTCGCGCTGTCCTACGGCATCTGGCTTGCCGCTCGCGCGCAGCCTTTCGGCGGAGAGACCCCGCGGACCATGACGCGGGAGTGGATCCAAGCCAGCGACAAGCTGCTTGACGCGTGGCCGCGGGAGGCCGGTTCTCCCGTCGTCATGAACCCCATCTCCAGGCAGAATGCTATCAAGAACTGAAGAAGCGGTTTTTACGGGAAGCTTCGCTTCGTGTCTTGCTGATCGACGGTAGCGGCTGGTTGTTCGGCTTTCTGAAGTTCGGTCGTACCGATGTCTAGTTGTAAATGGTTATTAGCTTTCGCCATCTGTTGTGTGATTCGAGGCAGCATTGTTTCTTCATTAAGGCACTTGACTTGGAATCGTTTGACGCCTGGCCTGGCATCCGCTTTGTCGATCATGATCTGATCTCATCTCATGGACATTACTTTTCTTCCTTACTGGTGCAACAATGTTGGTGTAGCCTCCCATATTGGACTCACTCTGGTTTGATTTGCTCACACTCAATGCTCCAATCCTGCCAGCTGCGTGAGTCATGTATATTTCAAGGTGCTATGCATACCTGGAGTGTCCATGTCTGTCAACTGTGTGAGTGTCAAAGCTTCGCCTTTGTGGTGGGATCATTGAAAGCGTGCAAGCTCGTAGAACTGCTTTGTGAGGGGTATTTGAGTCATTTGCAACATACATCAATTTACACTCGCTATGCATCACACGAATCGTGTTATTGCAAGTATCCCGCTCCTATGTAGCACAAGAATCACGTTATTGCCAATATCCGAGAACGCGTTATCGGGTTCCCCAACAATCGAAACTCACAGAACTCCCTCGTCGTCACTGCGGCAACACCGAGAGGAAATGGCAATTTCAGCTGAATAACCAGCTGAAACACACCAAACCGCTCTCAACCTAGCGGAGAGTTTCAAACTTCAGCTTCGTCTCTGGACATTGTCGCGTCACCTTCACTCTTTCCGATTCTGCTGGTGCCATCTCTCGCACTCCATTCACAACTCCTCACTGATAACTCAGCCAGTTTTCCAAAACCTCCTCATGCGTGCGAGTAAACCCAGCATAGGTTCGGTCGCGGTTCCATACAGTGATTTGGCTTGTAGAGCAATTGAGTTTATATGGAGCGGAAACCAACTTTCGGGATGCACCCTTACTTCGCTCGTCACTGTCTTTCATAGCAGCCGCTACGCCACGGTCTCGCTGCGCTTCTTCTCGAGATCCTCTGCGTAGCCCGTTGCAAGTTACTCGGTTTTTTCGCAGTAAAAGCAGCCAACACGGTAGTGCCAGCTGGCATTACCTCTAGACCGCCATGGTCCGGACTGTAGCTCGATCCGCCAGCACGACAACCTCCATGGAGTGGAAAACGGGTAAGCCGAGGCAAAAGCGTGCGAGAAAGAGTTGTAGCTCTCAAGGGAACGCCTCGTCACCGCCAACTCCGGTTTCTCCTGACGACCGTTTGGACGTCTCGCTGACTCCGTCAGCAAACGGCGATGCGAAGTCAAACTCGCTGAGACGCGACGCGAATGTCTTCGAGGAGGGATCGCCACTCCGCGATGTAACTTCTCACAATCCTGCCGTTATGAGGAAGGACCAGTGCGATAGCCCGAGCATTCGAAAGACTGAGGCTAGTAATTCTCCTGTTCCTTCATCAACATTATCAGGTCGCGTTCCTGTACCGCAATGTGACAATACTCCGAGAAGGAGGCCGCGCACCGTGGGTGACCTGAGACGGCTGCGACAACTGTCTTCATCCCCGTTTTTGCCTTCCCCAGCATCAGCTTCAACACCAGCAACAGGTGCAGCAGTGTCAGCTGCAGCACCTACGCCCGAGGCCAGAATCACACCAGAAGGGCTCTCTAGAGCATCAAGACCAACAGCTAGGGTTTCGCTTGGACAGCTGTCCCAAACGAAGATCACTGCTGGAAATGAGTCTCTGGTTTTTGTAACGTCTCAAAAAGCATCAGGACCAACAGGTAGGGTTTCACTTGGACGGCTGTCCCAAACAAAGACCACTGTTGTCAATGAGCCTCCGCTCTTGGCTCCTGTGAGTCCGGTGAATCCGTTTTCAAGCAGTGGCCGCAGCAACGAGGTTGTTCCAGACAGTGACGAGGATGCTATTAGCGAGGATATTGGTGGTGGAAATCGAGGTGCTTCGGTGCGCAACGGTACTGGCAGTGCTTTTCGTAGTGGGAAGGGTGGAAAAGGGAGTCAGTCTGGTGACTGTGATAATGGTGAAGGGGAGGGTGGAGGCGAGGGTTGTGACAGTAAGGGGGCTGTGGATATGAGGACATTTTTGGACGGTTTCAACCTGAGCGGCGAAGCAGAATCAGCGTGGCAAATGGAAAGCAGTCCTGTAAAAGAGGAGGCAGCAAAGTCAACTGACGGATTTCCAGCAACTGAGAGATCTCCAGCAGCTGACGGATCTCCAGCAACTGACGGATCTCCAGCAGCTGACGGGTCTCCAGCAACTGACGGATCTCCAGCAACTGACGGATCTCCAGCAGCTGACGGACCTCCAGCAACTGACAGGCCAACAGCAACTGACGGATCTCCAGCATCTGAAATGCCCCTGGCAGTAACTCCTGCTGCTGAAGCTCCCAGCAACTCTCAACATGCTAATACCCGTCTGATGAAATCTAGAAAGAAGCAGAGGAGCAATTCTGGGAAGAATACGAGCAGGAGGGTGGAGATGGAAGGGACAGATGGGAGCACACGTGGTGCAGCAGAAGCAATTGCGGGTAATGAGGCGACTTTCGAGGCGCCTCAAAGGAAGAATACGAGCAGGAGGGTGGAGATGGAAGGGACAGATGGGAGCACACGTGGTGCAGCAGAAGCAATTGCGGGTAATGAGGCGACTTTCGAGGCGCCTCAAAGGAAGAATACGAGCAGGAGGGTGGAGATGGAAGGGACAGATGGGAGCACACGTGGTGCAGCAGAAGCAGTGCGGAGCAGAAGCACATTCACAACAAGCCCTCAGCCGAAGCGTCACAAAGGCGCGAGGGCGAGTGGCCTTGGTGATGCTGCTGGCGTAGAGGCAGCAGGTTCGATTTCACCCCGAGCCACAGCTATTGCAGGAGGAGCAGCAGCCGGAGAAGGCACGGTAGAATGCAGTACGCCTAAGAGCAGTAAAACGCGCAGAGGCAGCAGTTCATTCAAAGGCAGTTCGCGAAAAGGCACTACGCTCAAAGGCTACTCCCCTCTGGCCCTAGTCACGAACAGCCCTCGTTCCACGCCTTCGTTTCTATCACCACCCCTTCCATTGTCACCCCTGCCACTGTCACTCCCGGCTGCTCGTTCGGATTCCACTCACAAGCCCCCATTATTGTCACACCGGATGTTGTCACTGCCTACAAGTTTTAACGAAGGGGACGGGGTGCCACCTTTGCTGTCAAATCCGTCATTGTCACACCCGGCTGTTCCTTCTGATTCTCCACACATGCCACCGTTATTGTCACACCCCCGAGGCGAGGGGGAGGGAGAGGATAAGAGAGAGGACGTGGGAGAGGAGGAGAGGGAGGAGGGAGGAGGAACGGTGGGAGCGAAGGGGATGGAGCGTAGCAGAGAGGATGTGAGAGAGAAGGGAGAGGAGGGGAGAGAGTATGGGAGAGAGGAGGGCAGAGAGGAGGGGAGAGAAGAGGGAAGAGAGGAGAGGAGAGACGAAAGGGGAGAGGAGGGGAGAGAGAAGAATGAGGAGGAGATAGGTCAGGAAGGTGCTGCAATGTTAGAGGAGGGGGGTGATATGGGGGGACGAGAGGGAGCCGGAAGGCATATACATGTGGAAGGTGGGAAAGATGAGGAAGTTGGGAAAGATGTGAAGATGTGGGTGGACGGTGCAGCAATCACAGAGGAAGGGTGTGATATGAGGGGGAGAGGGGTAGGAGGAAGGCGTATGCATATGGAAGGTGGGAATGGTGAGGAAGGTGGAAAAGATGAAGAAAATGGGAAAGATAGGATAGATGTGTGTGTGAGAGGGGGCGGTGGTGTGTACATAGAAGTGCATCATCCACTGCCAGTGCTGGCTGTGCACGTGTGGGCGGATAACAACCCCTCTAACGGCCCTTCCTGGGGCAGCGGGCCCTCATCAGAGGTGCATGCAGATGCGCAATTGGGTGGTGCGCTGCAGTCGGATTCAGCATTTGGAAGCCCGCGTGTAGATGGAGGAAGAGGAGGAGGAGGAGGAGGAGGAGGAGGAGGAGGAGGAGGAGGAGGAGGAGGAGGAGGAGGAGGAGGAGGAGGAGGAGGAGGAGGAGAAGGAGGAGGAACGCGCATCGCAGTGTGTTTGGGGAAGGAGGAGGAGGAGGAGGAGCGGATGGTAGTGGTGTATGAAGTAACGAGCACTGGGAGGAGTGGTGTAGAAGGCTGTGATGTGGGAAGGAGTGGTTTGGCAGGGAGCGGTGTGGCAGGGAAAAGGCCACACGAAGCAGCAGGAAATGCGGCTGGAAATGCGGGAGGAAATGCGGGAGGAAATGCGGGAGGAAATGCGGGAGGAAATGCGGGAGGAAATGCGGGAGGAAATGCGGCTGGAAATGCGGGAGGAAATGCAGGAGGAAATGCGGCTGGAAATGCGGGAGGAAATGCAGGAGGAAATGCGGCTGGAAATGCGGCTGGAAATGCGGGAGGAAATGCGGGAGGAAATGCAGGAAGACCAGGGCTAGGAACGCTTCAAGAAGCAACGAGACATGGGGCTCCGTGGTTCAGGCTGGTGGGAAGCTTTGGTGTGAAAGTCGACTATGCAGAAGCACGGACGGAGGTGCGTGCGTGGAAAGGGATGGCTTTTGATTCAGTGAGCTCTTGAGAATTCCCACTTAATGTGACCTCATCTCATGGTTCGTGGAAAGAAGCACGGACGGAGGCGTGTGGAAAGAGCGTCACGCCACGGCGACTTTTGAGTCGACTCATAAGAGCGTCACGCCACGGCCTTCAGCAACCCATCGCTGCACCCGTGCTCTCCGCCTGCTCTCCCCTTCATAAGATTTCCTTCCTGCAGCTGTTCCCCGAGCGCCACACAAGCAAGCCACACAAGCAAGCCACACAAGCAATGGCCTTTTCTGCGAGTTTTGAGTCGACTCAAAACTCGACTCTCCGCCTGCTCTCCCCTTCATAAGATTTCCTTGCCTGCAGCTGTTCCCCGAGCGCCACACGAGCAATGGCCTCTCCTGCGGTTCCTGCCTCTACTCTCGTTTCCTGCCTCTACTCTCGTTTCCTGCCTCTACTCTCTTTTCCTGCCACTCCTGCAGTTCCTGCCTCTACTCTCGTTTCCTGCCTCTACTCTCGTTTCCTGCCTCTACTCTCGTTTCCTGCCTCTACTCTCGTTTCCTGCCTCTACTCTCTTTTCCTGCCTCTACTCTCGTTTCCTGCCTCTACTCTCGTTTCCTGCCTCTACTCTCTTTTCCTGCCTCTACTCTCGTTTCCTGCCTCTACTCTCTTTTCCTGCCTCTACTCTCTTTTCCTGCCTCTACTCTCTTTTCCTGCCTCTACTCTCGTTTCCTGCCGCTACTCTCTTTTCCTGCCTCTACTCTCTTTTCCTGCCTCTACTCTCTTTTCCTGCCTCTACTCTCTTTTCCTGCCGCTACTCTCCTTTCCTGCCTCTACTCTCGTTTCCTGCCGCTACTCTCTTTTCCTGCCGCTACTCTCTTTTCCTGCCTCACTAACCCATCGCTGGGCGTCGAGCCATGGCCTTCTCTTCCTGCGGCACCTGCCTCTATCTCGCTAACTGCTTCACTCTCTGCCCCCGTCCTTCTTCATGTCACCCTTTCAGGTGTTCCCGGAGCGCCAAGCCATGGCCTTCTCGCCCTGCGGCACCTGCCTCTATCTCGCTAACTGCTTCACTCTCTGCCCCCTTCCTTCTTCATATCACCCTTTCAGGTGTTCCCCGAGCGCCAAGCCATGGCCTTCTCGCCCTGCGGCACCTGCCTCTATCTCGCTAACTGCTTCACTCTCTGCCCCCTTCCTTCTTCATATCACCCTTTCAGGTGTTCCCCGAGCGCCAAGCCATGGCCTTCTCGCCCTGCGGCACCTGCCTCTATCTCGCTAACTGCTTCACTCTCTGCCCCCTTCCTTCTTCATATCACCCTTTCAGGTGTTCCCCGAGCGCCAAGCCATGGCCTTCTCGCCCTGCGGCACCTGCCTCTGCTCTCCCTTCTCCTCCTCAGCTCAGTAACCCAGCCCTGCCCTACACCCCCCTCCTCCCGTCCCGTCACACCACCCTCTGGCAGGTGTTCCCTGAGCGCCAAGCCATGGCCTTCTCTCCCTGCCGGTGCTGGTAACATGGTAACCCAGCCCTGCCCTACACCCCCCTCCTCCCGTCACATCACTCTCCACCAGGTGTTTCCCGAGCGCCAAGCCATGGCCTTCTCGCCCTGCGGCACCTGCCTCTACCTCGCTAATTGCTTCACCCTCTGCCAACCGTCAGAGCTTATAACGAAGCCTACTGAAGCAGCTGCATTCAGCGGCAACAGCAACAGCAACAGCAGCAGAAGCAGTAGCAAAAGAAACGGCAGCCACAGCAGCAGTGGCAGGAAGACAATCGTTTCTGGTGGTGTGACAGTAGTCGAGTTGAGCTTGGAAGCATCAAGAAATAGGGTATTTCAGTCCAATCTTCTGGAATTCCCTGCAGCACCCACCAGCAGCGCCTCGACCGCTGCTGCCCTCCGTTCGCCCCCTTCACTCTCTACCTGCCTTCCACCGTTCCCCTCCCTCTCAAGCCTCTCACCGGCGGTTCCCAAGTGCCCACAGATGTGGGCTGTGGTGGTGGTGAGGAGGGGGAGGAACGACGGTGGGAAGGGCGTGGAAGAGGAGACGAGTGGGGGGAAGGAGATGGGGAGGGGTGTGGAAGGGAAGGGTAGGGAGGGAGGAGGCATGGAGGGAGGAGGCACGGAGGGAGGAGGAGAGTGGGTGGTGGTGGCAGCAGGGGACGGTGGTGCTGCTTGCTGCTGGGTGATGGACAAGTATCGAAGGTGAGAGGGGCGCTCAGAGAGAAGGTGGGTTTATGTGAGGATTGGTGAGGGTTGGTGAGGGTACGTCAGGGTAGGTTGGGGTGGGTGAGGTTAAGGGACGGTGGTGCCGCTTGCAGCTGGGTGATGGACAAGCATGGAAGGTGAGAGGGGCGGTGAGGGGTGACGTAAACTGGGTTTTATAGAAAATGTGGGGGTAATTGCGTGTAGGTGAAGGTAGGGGATGGTGGTGCTGCTTGCTGCTGGGTGATGGACAGGCATGGGAGGTGAGAGGGACACATACAGGGAGGTTGGGATCAGGTGGGGGTAGGTGGGGGTAGGCAAGATCCATTTTAAAGAAGACGATGTTGTTTTACAATAGGGGACACAGAACCCCTTTTACTGGGGGTAGGTGGGGGTAGGTGAGGTGAGGGTAGGTACACATAGGGGATGGTGGTGCTACGTGCTGCTGGGAGATGGACAGGCATGGAAGGTGAGAGAGGATGTGAGGGGAAGCGAGAGGAGAGGGGAGGTGAGCCCCTCACACACACTCGTCCCCCATTGTACTGTACATTTAGCAGTATTGTACCCTTTCCTCTAAGCTGTGTGCTTTGACTCTCCCCACACCTTTGTCACAGGTCGCCCCTGGCCAGATACCACCTCCCCCCGGCGTGCTACAGGAGCCAACCCTTCCTTTCACCGAGTCATCTCCCTGGCTGCTGTGCTCCCTCATACACTCAATTCTTGATGCATCATACGTTGTTTATAGTGCCTTTTGTCCACCCCTCAACCCGTCTCACAGGTCGCCCCTGGCCAGATATCACCTCCCCCCGGCGTGCTACAGGAGCCACCCCTTCCACAGACTCATCTCCCTGGCTGCTGTGTTACCCTCACCACACACGCTGTTCTCCACACCCCACCTGTGTTCCTTGTGTTACAGGTCGCCCCTGGCCAGATACCACCTCCCCCCGACCTGCTACAGGAGCCACCCCTTCCACCGAGTCATCTCCCTGGCTTCTGTGCCGCACCGGCCTGGATGGGTTCTGGGGTGCTCCTACGGCGGTTCTGTTGCTCTTTGGTGAGTCAACCTGAGTCAACACAAGTCAGAAACGGTCGTCTCCTTGGCTGCTGTGCCGCACCGGCCTGGATGGGTTCTGGGGTGCTCCTACGGCGGTTCTGTTGCCCTCTTGTGAGTGAGAGAACTTTAAAAGGTCAACACCAATCAACTGAGTCAATCCAATCAAGCCCACCCCTTTCACCGAGTCATCTCGCTGGCTGCTGTGCCCCACCGGCCTGGATGGGTGCTTGGCTGCTCCTATGGTGGCTCAATTGCTCTCTGGTAAGTCAACACGAGTCAACACGGGTCAACACGGGTCAACACGGGTCAACACGGGTCAACACGGGTCAACACATTCATACCCACCCCTTCCACCGGGTCATATCCGTGGTTGCTGTATCCCGCTGGCCTGATGGGTGCTTGGCTGTTCTCACGGCGGCTCAGTTGCCCTCTGGTGAGTCAACACGAGTCATACCCCATCCACTCTCAACCCCAATCCACTCTCACCCCCAATCCACTCTCACCCCCCATCCACTCTCACCCCCCATCCACTCTCACCCCCCATCCACTCTCACCCCCCATCCACTCTCACCCCCATCCACTCTCACCCCCCATCCACTCTCACCCCCCATCCACTCTCACCCCCCATCCACTCTCACCCCCCATCCACTCTCAACCCCCATCCACTCTCACCCCCCATCCACTCTCACCCCCCATCCACTCTCACCCCCCATCCACTCTCCTCTCCGCTTGGCCCCTTCCTCCCTCACAGGGATGTGGATTGCCGTTTGCTGCTGAGTGTATGACACAGCCTCGCACACTCCATTCCCAAAAGTCACCAGAGCTACATACACCCAAGCCCCATCCACTCGCATGCCAATCTACCCTCAAACCCCCTCCATCCACTCACAGGGATGTGGATTGCCGTTTGCTGCTGAGTGTATGACACAGCCTCGCACACTCCATTCCCAAAAGTCACCAGAGCTACATACACCCAAGCCCCATCCACTCGCATGCCAATCTACCCTCAAACCCCCTCCGTCCACTCACAGGGATGTGGATTGCCGTTTGCTGCTGAGTGTATGACACAGCCTCGCACACTCCATTCCCAAAAGTCACCAGAGCTACATACACCCAAGCCCCATCCACTCGCATGCCAATCTACCCTCAAACCCCCTCCGTCCACTCACAGGGATGTGGATTGCCGTTTGCTGCTGAGTGTATGACACAGCCTCGCACACTCCATTCCCAAAAGTCACCAGAGCTACATACACCCAAGCCCCATCCACTCGCATGCCAATCTACCCTCAAACCCCCTCCGTCCACTCACAGGGATGTGGATTGCCGTTTGCTGCTGAGTGTATGACACAGCCTCGCACACTCCATTCCCAAAAGTCACCAGAGCTACATACACCCAAGCCCCATCCACTCGCATGCCAATCTACCCTCAAACCCCCTCCGTCCACTCACAGGGATGTGGATTGCCGTTTGCTGCTGAGTGTATGACACAGCCTCGCACACTCCATTCCCAAAAGTCACCAGAGCTACATACACCCAAGCCCCATCCACTCGCATGCCAATCTACCCTCAAACCCCCTCCGTCCACTCACAGGGATGTGGATTGCCGTTTGCTGCTGAGTGTATGACACAGCCTCGCACACTCCATTCCCAAAAGTCACCAGAGCTACATACACCCAAGCCCCATCCACTCGCATGCCAATCTACCCTCAAACCCCCTCCGTCCACTCACAGGGATGTGGATTGCCGTTTGCTGCTGAGTGTATGACACAGCCTCGCACACTCCATTCCCAAAAGTCACCAGAGCTACATACACCCAAGCCCCATCCACTCGCATGCCAATCTACCCTCAAACCCCCTCCGTCCACTCACAGGGATGTGGATTGCCGTTTGCTGCTGAGTGTATGACACAGCCTCGCACACTCCATTCCCAAAAGTCACCAGAGCTACATACACCCAAGCCCCATCCACTCGCATGCCAATCTACCCTCAAACCCCCTCCGTCCACTCACAGGGATGTGGATTGCCGTTTGCTGCTGAGTGTATGACACAGCCTCGCACACTCCATTCCCAAAAGTCACCAGAGCTACATACACCCAAGCCCCATCCACTCGCATGCCAATCTACCCTCAAACCCCCTCCATCCACTCACAGGGATGTGGATTGCCGTTTGCTGCTGAGTGTATGACACAGCCTCGCACACTCCATTCCCAAAAGTCACCAGAGCTACATACACCCAAGCCCCATCCACTCGCATGCCAATCTACCCTCAAACCCCCTCCATCCACTCACAGGGATGTGGATTGCCGTTTGCTGCTGAGTGTATGACACAGCCTCGCACACTCCATTCCCAAAAGTCACCAGAGCTACATACACCCAAGCCCCATCCACTCGCATGCCAATCTACCCTCAAACCCCCTCCGTCCACTCACAGGGATGTGGATTGCCGTTTGCTGCTGAGTGTATGACACAGCCTCGCACACTCCATTCCCAAAAGTCACCAGAGCTACATACACCCAAGCCCCATCCACTCGCATGCCAATCTACCCTCAAACCCCCTCCGTCCACTCACAGGGATGTGGATTGCCGTTTGCTGCTGAGTGTATGACACAGCCTCGCACACTCCATTCCCAAAAGTCACCAGAGCTACATACACCCAAGCCCCATCCACTCGCATGCCAATCTACCCTCAAACCCCCTCCGTCCACTCACAGGGATGTGGATTGCCGTTTGCTGCTGAGTGTATGACACAGCCTCGCACACTCCATTCCCAAAAGTCACCAGAGCTACATACACCCAAGCCCCATCCACTCGCATGCCAATCTACCCTCAAACCCCCTCCGTCCACTCACAGGGATGTGGATTGCCGTTTGCTGCTGAGTGTATGACACAGCCTCGCACACTCCATTCCCAAAAGTCACCAGAGCTACATACACCCAAGCCCCATCCACTCGCATGCCAATCTACCCTCAAACCCCCTCCGTCCACTCACAGGGATGTGGATTGCCGTTTGCTGCTGAGTGTATGACACAGCCTCGCACACTCCATTCCCAAAAGTCACCAGAGCTACATACACCCAAGCCCCATCCACTCGCATGCCAATCTACCCTCAAACCCCCTCCGTCCACTCACAGGGATGTGGATTGCCGTTTGCTGCTGAGTGTATGACACAGCCTCGCACACTCCATTCCCAAAAGTCACCAGAGCTACATACACCCAAGCCCCATCCACTCGCATGCCAATCTACCCTCAAACCCCCTCCATCCACTCACAGGGATGTGGATTGCCGTTTGCTGCTGAGTGTATGACACAGCCTCGCACACTCCATTCCCAAAAGTCACCAGAGCTACATACACCCAAGCCCCATCCACTCGCATGCCAATCTACCCTCAAACCCCCTCCATCCACTCACAGGGATGTGGATTGCCGTTTGCTGCTGAGTGTATGACACAGCCTCGCACACTCCATTCCCAAAAGTCATCAGAGCTACATACACCCAAGCCCCATCCACTCGCATGCCAATCTACCCTCAAACCCCCTCCGTCCACTCACAGGGATGTGGATTGCCGTTTGCTGCTGAGTGTATGACACAGCCTCGCACACTCCATTCCCAAAAGTCACCAGAGCCACATACACCCAAGCCCCATCCACTCGCATGCCAATCTACCCTCAAACCCCCTCCGTCCACTCACAGGGATGTGGATTGCCGTTTGCTGCTGAGTGTATGACACAGCCTCGCACACTCCATTCCCAAAAGTCACCTGAGCTACATACACCCAAGCCCCATCCACTCGCATGCCAATCTACCCTCAAACCCCCTCCGTCCACTCACAGGGATGTGGATTGCCGTTTGCTGCTGAGTGTATGACACAGCCTCGCACACTCCATTCCCATAAGTCACCAGAGCTACATACGCCCAAGCCCCATCCACTCGCATGCCAATCTACCCTCAAACCCCCTCCGTCCACTCACAGGGATGTGGATTGCCGTTTGCTGCTGAGTGTATGACACAGCCTCGCACACTCCATTCCCAAAAGTCACCAGAGCTACATACACCCAAGCCCCATCCACTCGCATGCCAATCTACCCTCAAACCCCCTCCGTCCACTCACAGGGATGTGGATTGCCGTTTGCTGCTGAGTGTATGACACAGCCTCGCACACTCCATTCCCAAAAGTCACCAGAGCTACATACACCCAAGCCCCATCCACTCGCATGCCAATCTACCCTCAAACCCCCTCCGTCCACTCACAGGGATGTGGATTGCCGTTTGCTGCTGAGTGTATGACACAGCCTCGCACACTCCATTCCCAAAAGTCACCAGAGCTACATACACCCAAGCCCCATCCACTCGCATGCCAATCTACCCTCAAACCCCCTCCGTCCACTCACAGGGATGTGGATTGCCGTTTGCTGCTGAGTGTATGACACAGCCTCGCACACTCCATTCCCAAAAGTCACCAGAGCTACATACACCCAAGCCCCATCCACTCGCATGCCAATCTACCCTCAAACCCCCTCCGTCCACTCACAGGGATGTGGATTGCCGTTTGCTGCTGAGTGTATGACACAGCCTCGCACACTCCATTCCCAAAAGTCACCAGAGCTACATACACCCAAGCCCCATCCACTCGCATGCCAATCTACCCTCAAACCCCCTCCGTCCACTCACAGGGATGTGGATTGCCGTTTGCTGCTGAGTGTATGACACAGCCTCGCACACTCCATTCCCAAAAGTCACCAGAGCTACATACACCCAAGCCCCATCCACTCGCATGCCAATCTACCCTCAAACCCCCTCCGTCCACTCACAGGGATGTGGATTGCCGTTTGCTGCTGAGTGTATGACACAGCCTCGCACACTCCATTCCCAAAAGTCACCAGAGCTACATACACCCAAGCCCCATCCACTCGCATGCCAATCTACCCTCAAACCCCCTCCGTCCACTCACAGGGATGTGGATTGCCGTTTGCTGCTGAGTGTATGACACAGCCTCGCACACTCCATTCCCAAAAGTCACCAGAGCTACATACACCCAAGCCCCATCCACTCGCATGCCAATCTACCCTCAAACCCCCTCCGTCCACTCACAGGGATGTGGATTGCCGTTTGCTGCTGAGTGTATGACACAGCCTCGCACACTCCATTCCCAAAAGTCACCAGAGCTACATACACCCAAGCCCCATCCACTCGCATGCCAATCTACCCTCAAACCCCCTCCGTCCACTCACAGGGATGTGGATTGCCGTTTGCTGCTGAGTGTATGACACAGCCTCGCACACTCCATTCCCAAAAGTCACCAGAGCTACATACACCCAAGCCCCATCCACTCGCATGCCAATCTACCCTCAAACCCCCTCCGTCCACTCACAGGGATGTGGATTGCCGTTTGCTGCTGAGTGTATGACACAGCCTCGCACACTCCATTCCCAAAAGTCACCAGAGCTACATACACCCAAGCCCCATCCACTCGCATGCCAATCTACCCTCAAACCCCCTCCGTCCACTCACAGGGATGTGGATTGCCGTTTGCTGCTGAGTGTATGACACAGCCTCGCACACTCCATTCCCAAAAGTCACCAGAGCTACATACACCCAAGCCCCATCCACTCGCATGCCAATCTACCCTCAAACCCCCTCCGTCCACTCACAGGGATGTGGATTGCCGTTTGCTGCTGAGTGTATGACACAGCCTCGCACACTCCATTCCCAAAAGTCACCAGAGCTACATACACCCAAGCCCCATCCACTCGCATGCCAATCTACCCTCAAACCCCCTCCGTCCACTCACAGGGATGTGGATTGCCGTTTGCTGCTGAGTGTATGACACAGCCTCGCACACTCCATTCCCAAAAGTCACCAGAGCTACATACACCCAAGCCCCATCCACTCGCATGCCAATCTACCCTCAAACCCCCTCCGTCCACTCACAGGGATGTGGATTGCCGTTTGCTGCTGAGTGTATGACACAGCCTCGCACACTCCATTCCCAAAAGTCACCAGAGCTACATACACCCAAGCCCCATCCACTCGCATGCCAATCTACCCTCAAACCCCCTCCATCCACTCACAGGGATGTGGATTGCCGTTTGCTGCTGAGTGTATGACACAGCCTCGCACACTCCATTCCCAAAAGTCACCAGAGCTACATACACCCAAGCCCCATCCACTCGCATGCCAATCTACCCTCAAACCCCCTCCATCCACTCACAGGGATGTGGATTGCCGTTTTCTGCTGAGTGTATGACACAGCCTCTCATCACACTCCATTTTCGCCCTGCACGTCTGCCCTCTCCCCTCTGAAGCGGATACCCCTTTTTGTGGCAGTTCCTGATGTGTAAACACCCTTACTGTATTCACACTCACCCCCCCTCCCTCCACACACAGGGATGTGCATCGTCGTGTGCTGCTGACTGCATGGCACAGCCTTGCACACTCCATTCTCATAAGTCACTGATGCCGCTCACACCCACGTCCCATCCACACTTTTCTTCTTGCCCCTCTCCTCCATACACAGGGATGTGCATCGCCGTGTGCTGCTGACTGCATGGCACAGCCTTGCACACTCCATTCTCAGCCTGCACGTCTGCCCTCTCCCATCTGCTCCTGCTGCTGCTGGTTCTGCTGGTGCTGCTGCTGCCGTTGGTGGTTCTGCTGGTGCTGCTGCTGCCGGTGGTGGTTCTGCTGGTGCTGCTGCTGCCGGTGGTGGTTCTGCTGGTGCTGTTGCTGCTCGTGATGAAAACGCTCAAGTGTTGGGGAAGCAAGCAGAGAAGGAAGGGCTTGGGGGGATAGATGGGCTGGAATTGCTGCTGTTGCTGGAAACAGGGGAAAGGGCGGACAGCTGGCAAAACGACGCAAATGAGCACCAAAACATGATGCCTGAAGAAGAGTGCAAGATCACAGTATCAACAGCGATTGTGGGGGACAATCAACAGAGGGTGGTGGTGCGGGCGCCATACTTACAATCTGGCGCACACAGGCTGGCGTTTCTGAGTAGCAAGGCGATGGTGGTGGGGCGGAGCATAGCGGACAGGTGAGCACTGAGGCACATGGCATGGGTGGGATGCGGTGTAAAGGTCTGCAATAGGGTTTGGTGTAGCACAGGGTGGTGGTGTGAGCACCCACTGCTGCAGAGAGCAAGCCGAGTCACCAGTTGGTGTTTCTGAGTGGCGAGATGGTATTGGTGGGAAGGAGCATAGTGCACAGGTGAGCACTGGTTGGAATGTTGTATGAAGGTGAGCACTGGTTGGAATGTGGTATGAAGGTGAGCACTGGTTGGAATGTGGTATGAAGGTGAGCAGTGGTTGGAATGTGGTATGAAGGTGAGCACTGGTTGGAATGTGGTATGAAGGTGAGCACTGGTTGGAATGTGGTATGAAGGTGAGCACTGGTTGGAATGTGGTATGAAGGTGAGCACTAGTTGGAATGTGGTATGAAGGTGAGCACTGGTTGGAATGTGGTATGAAGGTGAGCACTGGTTGGAATGTGGTATGAAGGTGAGCACTGGCTGGAATGTGGTATGAAGGTGAGCACTGGTTGGAATGTGGTATGAAGGTGAGCAGTACGTGGTGGTGCGGGTGCCACAGCTGCAGCCAAAGTCAGGTGGGCACAGGCTGGCGTTTTTTGAGTGGCAAGGAAATGGTATTGGTGGGATGGAGCATAGCAGACAGGTGAGCACTGAGCTGACCCGCATGGGTGGAATGCGGTATCAAGATGTGCAGTACAATCTGTTGTTAGCAAGGGTGGTAGTACGGGCACCACAGCCACAGCCACAGGCAGGCGGACACAGGGTGGCGTTTCTGAGTGCCTAAGGGATGGCGGTGGGGCGGAGCATAGCGGACAGGTGAGCACTGAGCTGAGTGGGATACGGTATGAAGGTTTGCAGTAAGGTTTGGTGCTACACAGGGTGGTGGTGAGGGCACCACAGCTACAGCCACAGGCAGGCGCAAACAGGCTGGCGTTTCTGAGTGCCAAGGCGATGGTGATGGGGCGGAGTATAGCAGACACGTGAGCATTGAGCTGAGTGGGATACGGTATGAAGGTTTGCAGTAAGGTTTGGTGCTACACAGGGTGGTGGTGAGGGCACCACAGCCACAGTCAGGCAGACTCAGGCAGGCGTTTCTGAGTGCCAAGGAGATGGTGGTGGGGCGGAGTGTAGCGGACAGGTGAGACCATGGTGAGAATCGGTGTAAAGGTGTGTGGTAAGGTTTGGTGATACACAGTGTGGTGGTGCGAGCACGCACAGACAAATCCACACCCACACTCTGGCGGACACCCACCAGTGTTTGTGAGAATTCTCAAAAACCAGCGCGGACACCCACTAGTGGGGTTGACTTAGAGTTGACTCAAAAGTCAACGCACCACACTCTGGCGGACACCCACTAGTGTTTGTGAGAGCCAATGAGGTGGTGGGGTGGGGAGGGGCATAGCGGACAGGTGAGCACTGAGCTGACCCGCATTGCATGGGTGGGATGCGGTATGAAGGTGTGCAGCCACTCTCCCATCACTCAGGGAAGCACCATATACCGGTACTGACCTCCCACATTCCCCCCTTCCCTTCATTCATCCCCTTGCCCCCAACCCTGCACCATTTTCTCGCAGGCATATCGTGGAACAGCTACTGTCGGGGACTCAGGGAAGCACCATATACCGGTACTGACCTCCCACATTCCCCCCTTCCCTTCATTCATCCCCTTGCCCCCAACCCTGCACCATTTTCTCGCAGGCATATCGTGGAACAGCTACTGTCGGGGACTCAGGGAAGCACCATATACCGGTACTGACCTCCCACATTCCCCCCTTCCCTTCATTCATCCCCTTGCCCCCAACCCTGCACCATTTTCTCGCAGGCATATCGTGGAACAGCTACTGTCGGGGACTCAGGGAAGCACCATATACCGGTACTGACCTCCCACATTCCCCCCTTCCCTTCATTCATCCCCTTGCCCCCAACCCTGCACCATTTTCTCGCAGGCATATCGTGGAACAGCTACTGTCGGGGACTCAAGGAATCATGAAGTGGTGCCATCTCATCTCAACGTTCCTCATCCTCTCTCATTCTCCCTGACCCTTCATCCATCCCCTTGCCCCCAACCCTGCACCATTTTCTCGCAGCCATCTTGTAGAGCAGCTACTGTCGGGGACTCAAAGAAGCACAATCTACTGACGTATCTCACTCTGTACTGCAATGAATGTTTATATGGTGTGCACATGTATTTCTATGATGTCAAATGATTTTGTGTATTCTATGGACTGGTTAATACATTGATAATATCGGCTAAATGGGGAAACTTGGCCACCAGATCCGCTCTATTAGCCAACTCGAAATCTGCAAACTCAAAAGCAGGAGCTACAGTGCATCCAACCAGACTGTACTGTGTATCTGCTGAACCCGCATCTCGAGCCGTTCGATTCAGCGCAGCATCGAAATCAAGGGTGGGGAACGCCCCGAACCAGACGCTGGGTTTGATGATGTGATGAAAGGATTGGCCGGCTGCTAGGTCTGGGCCGATGGTGGTCTTGCGGATCGACCCATCGTCTTCAATCTCCACAATCTGGAGGGAATGGGGGAGAGGAAGGGAGTTACAAAGACAAGGAGGAGTCAGACGTTGGGCTTGATGGGACAATGTGGTGGAAGGGTTGGCCGGCTGCTAGGTCTGGGCCGATAGTGGTCTTAGAGCGTATTCCTATCCTCGTATCAAGAAAACCTCATATCAACCTCCCACTGAAAATTTCCCTAAACCCAAAACCTCTCGCTACTTTTACCAGGCAAAAAGTACAATCTTGATATGAGGTTTTCTTGATACGAGGATAGGAATACGCTCTTACGGATCGACCCATTGTCTTCAATCTCCACAATCTGGAAGAAAAAGGAACAGGATAAAAAAGTAGGGAAGAGGGGAAGGCGGAAGAGGAAGAGACGGGAGGAGGAGGGACATATTGGGCCACTGTGGAATTTTGAATCAGCAATATTGAATTTACTTATAAGTGACAGGAGAGCAGAGGGGAGGGAGGAGAGCAGAGGGGACGAAGAGAGGAGATTAGCATGAGACAAGTGACGGAGGGGGTAGAGGGGAGGAACGGAGGAGAGGAGGGGAGAATGGGAGGGTGGGTAGAGGGAGAGAGGGGAAGAAAAGGGGGGCTAACCGTGAGTGGATCGCCGGCGTAGTGGTGAAGCTAGTTGATTCAGCTTGAGGGGGGTAGGAGGGGGGTGGGAGGGGGGTAGGAGGGGGGTGGGAGGGGGGTAGAGGAGAAGAGGGGGGCTAACCGTGAGTGGATCGCCGGCGTAGTGGTGGAAGATTTCAGAGGAGGGCATGCGATGGAGGTGAGACACGCTGCCCGTGGGCAGAAGAAAATAAATGCAGGTGCTGACCGGCCTTGCCACCTTGACTGCACAATGAAACGAGTGCGATAGGGAGGGGAGAAAAGAAGGGGGAGGGGTGGGGAGGGGGAAGGGGATGCGATCCAGTGTGATGCCTCTGCAAGATGCGAGAATGGAGGTATCATGGTGCATCATGGTGTGTATCATGGTGTGAGCGCATCATCATGGTGTGAGCGCATCATCATGGTGTGAGTGCATCATTGTGCGAGCGCATCATGGTGTGAGCGCATCATGGTGCGTATGCGCGAGCCAGTGTGATGCCACTACATGTGCCACTATCTGCAAATAACACCCTCCCTTCCTCACTACTTGCTATTGGAACCCTCCACTTGAAACGAGCGGGTTACCACAACTCACGAATTTCGAATACCTTTGGAGTGTCCTGTGTCTGAGCTACGCAACGACAATGCAAACCAAACTACAGTGTTACCATGTTACATCCTTCGCACGGAGACAGGTTCTCAAGGGATTTGAGCACCCGCGTGTCGCTTTACGTCTGAATATAAACCCCTGAAACACGTGTTACAGCGTTTTTACGACCTCGTTAACTCTTACATCCTTTGCCCGGAGGCAAGCTTTTCAGGAATAGCTGCACCCGCACATCACGGATCCTTTCGTTATTAATGTTACAGTGTTACCATCTCGCTAACTCTTACATCCTTCGCCCGGAGGAAGGTTTTCCAGGGATAACTGAACGCGCGTGTCGCGGAACGTCTCCGCGTAAAACCCTCCCTCGGGGTGCGGCTGCAGGTTCAGTCGGGTTACCACATCGCCTACTGGAAGCAGCTTCGCCGACATGATTCGCGGCTCTTGACCGTCCGACGAAACGGCAAGCGATACTCTCCGTCCAAATGGCAGAGAGGAGCCTTAGAAACCGTTAGCTAAAAACCTAGAAAAGAAAACGCCGATAGAGAACGCACCCAGACTAACAGGCCTTCTTTGAGAATTCGGCGTGTTTCGTTTGCTTCGCAAAATTCTGTAACATGTCTCGCTTCCTCGTAAATGCTCATGGTTGGAAGAAGTTGTTCCCTGTTACGGGTGCAATAGATGAGGTAGCGAGAATTGCACTAAGGTGTCAAACAAGTACCAAACGTGAGCGGAGGCATGAGCGAACATTTATACGCGAAACATGCAAACGGTAACGCGGTGCGTGCGAGCTAGCTAGTGCTACGCTGGAAGCGAGGCTCGGGCTAGTCCCGAAGCGTAGGCCGACACGGCCGGTCCAGCAGTGCGAGGTTTGGGAAAACAGTGCGCGCGAAGTCGGCGAAGCCCCGTTAGCAGTAACGGGCGAACAACGGCTGCTGCTGTACGCGGTGTTGCAGGGTGCGCTAAGGAATATCGAGAAAATTCCTTACACTAGAAGCCCCCTCCGTTACGCGAGTGCGTGTATATCTCGGAAACCCCGGCTCCTCAGGTACGCTTGCAGGGCAGGGTGGTTTTCAATGTTGGCCAGGGGCACCCAGCTATCTTCAGTTGGTGTGCGATCCTTCCAGCGAACGAGGAATTCAATCCTCCTGATTCCTGTGGGGTGTCGAATCCGATGGCTCAGGATTTTTTCGGGCTCGATGATCGGCTCCGATGCAGGGCGAGTCATGGATGGCGGGCGGTAACGAGGCAGTTGGCTTGTGGTTGGGATGTATGGGCGAAGCAGGCTGACGTGGAATGAAGGGCTGACGTACCAGTCCGTCGGCAACAGTAGGTCAGCTGTCACTGGGGTAATCATGTGGCTGATTTGGAATGGTCCACAGTAGCGGGGTCGCAATTTCGGTACGACGGGCAGTCTTAAGTTCTGTGTGTCGAGCACTACGTAATCTCTTGACTGGTACGTGACTGGGCAGCGGTGGCGGTCAGCGTTGCGCTTAGCGATGACATTGGCCTTTTTAATTGCTTCTGCGGCTCTGGTGCGGGCAGCTTGCAGAATTTCGGCGAATTGCTATGCACGCGGTGTTGGGTTGTCCGGACTCGGCGTCATGGGCACTGTAGGGTTTTGCCCGCAGTTCAGGTAGAAAGGGGACTGATGCGTCGTTGCTGACGAGGCGTTGTTATACGCGAACTCAATCAGCGGCACCTGCTGCTCCCAAGTGGTTGGGTCGTCGGACGTGGCACGAATCAACTGCTCAATCGTCTGATTCGTCTGCTCCGTTTGACCGTCGGTCTTGGGGTGGTACGACGAGCTGAACTGTAGCCTTGTCCCGAACTGCTTCCAGAGGTTTTTCCAGAAGTTGCTGGTAAACTTCGTGTCGCGGTCGCTGATTATCGCGGCTGGTATCCCGTGCAGTCGAACGACGGCTGCGATGAACAGGCGAGCGGTTTCTTCGGCTGAGATCGATTTCTTGCACGCAGCGAAGTGTGCCATCTTCGTCAACCTGTCAACGACGACCATAACCGCGTCGTTACCCCCAAGGTTCGAAGGTAACCCTGTGACAAAATCCATGGTAACCTGCTGCCAGGCGCGCTCAGGCGGTGGAATCGGCTGCAACTGACCCGCCTTTCTTTTTCGCGAGCTCTTCATCACCTGACACGTAGGACACGAGCCCACGTGGTGCTGTACGTCGGTCAACAGCTCCGGCCAGTAGTAATACCGCTGTAGTTGCTGTCGCGTTTTGTCTACCCCGAAATGTCCCGAGGTAATCCCGTCGTGTGCCTCCTGTAGTAACAGTTCCCTCAGTAGTGAGTACGCGGGTACCCAGATGCGGTTGGTGCCTGTTTTTACGTAATAGACTCCTCTGGCCTCTGCCAGTTGCTGTGAATTTCAGGTCGTGAAAAATGGGTCGGTACTGTATCCGTGGGTGAATAGGCCTGTTAACAGTGGGTTGGTTTGGGCGAGTAGGATGGCGTGGAGTTGGGCGGTGGGGCGTGTGAGTGCGTCGGCGATGTTGGTGTCAGAATGTTATAATTGTCTAGCCTGCAGTGGGGTACTCTATAGCGAGTACAACCCAATTAGGGTTTCCTATATGTATGCCAACTGCTGCTAGTGCAACCTCTCTCTTCTTCATTCCTCATTCTTTCACATGCTATCAGAGCATCTACGCTCCTGGCCTGTGGGCCCACCTAACTGCTTCCGCTGCTACTCTGTGTGCTACTCTTAGCGGCCCCGTCGCCGCCCTTCTCGGCCCCTCGCGGCCCCTTCGCGGCCCCGTTGCCGCCCTTCCAGGCCCCTCGCGGCCCCTTCGCGGCCCCGTCGCCGCCCCTAACGGCCCCATCGCCGCCCTTCTCGGCCCCTCGCGGCCCCTTCGCGGCCCCGCTGCCGCCCTTCCAGGCCCCTCGCGGCCCCTTCGCGGCCCCGTCGCCGCCCCTAACGGCCCCGTCGCCGCCCTTCTCGCCCCCTCGCGGCCCCTTCGCGGCCCGTCGCCACCCTTCCAGGCCCCTCGCGGCCCCTTCGCGGTCCCGTCGCCGCCCCTAGCGGTCCCGTCGCCGCCCCTGCGGTCCCGTCGCCGCCCCTAGCGGCCCCGTCGCCGCCCTTCGCGGCCACGTCGCCGCCCTTCGCGGCCCCGTCGCCGCCCCAAGCGGCCCCGTCGCCGCTCTTCGCGGCCCCGTCGCCGCCTCTAGCGGCCCCGTTGCCCTTCTCGGCCCCGTCGCCGCCTCTACCGGCCCCGTCGCCGCCCCTATCGAGGCCCTGCCCCGGCCCTGCCCTGGCCCTGCCCCGACCCTGCCCCGGCCCCGCCCCGGCCATGCTCCGTCGCCTGGCGCGGCGCACCGGGGACCCGTGCACCGCCCCCCCCCCTCTTTTCCCGTCGCCTGTCGAGGCGACCTGAGGGGGCCGCGACCGGGGGGGGGGGGGGGGGGCGAGCGTCGCCCCTTCTGCCGCCTGTTTTGGCGCCCTGGGAGGCCGCGCGTCGCCCCCCCCTCCCCCCCCCCCCCCGTAACCTCCCTACCCGCCGTCCCGCCCTGCCCTGTGTTAGGGTCTAGGGGTGGCGAGTAGGGGGTGGCGGGTGTGTGGTCTCCCCTGCTCCTCCTCCTCCTTTGTCTCCCACTGCTGCAGCTGCCGCTGAGGGGGGTGGGTGTGTGGGAGTCGACGGAGTGGTGCTAGGGGGTGGGGTGTGAGTGAACCTAGGGTGTAGCAAGGGGTGTGTGAAAGGGGGGTACTGTGGGAGTAGAACTAGGGTTTGAGCAGGGGGTGTGTGTCGAGGGGTGTGGGGCAGCTGGAGGAGGTTGTATGAAGGTAGCTGTCGTGTCGCCTGCAGCGCCTATAGCCCGTCGCCCTTGCTTCGGTAGCCAGTGAGCCTGTTGCACCAGTCGCCAGTGGGTCCGTTGCTCCTGCCGCTCGTCTATAGCCGCGGAGCCAGTTACTCCAGTAGTCCGTCGCCTTGCTTTGGTAGCCACTGAGTCAGCCGCTCCTGTGCCCGTGCCTCTGCAGCTTCAGTCGTTGCCTCCCATCTTCTCTCCCTCCACAGTTCCTCCTCCTCCTCACTTGCCCGCTGTGATTAACTCTAGCTTTGCTCGCTATTGTTAACTCCTGCTCTATGCCTGCTTGCTCATTGTGCTGATTACACCCCACTTTGGCTATGGGGGTGTGTCAGAATGTTATAATTGTCTAGCCTGCAGTGGGGTACTCTATAGCGAGTACAACCCAATTAGGGTTTCCTATATGTATGCCAACTGCTGCTAGTGCAACCTCTCTCTTCTTCATTCCTCATTCTTTCACAGTTGGATGCGCCTTTTTTGTATGTGACCGTATAGTGGAAATTGGACTCCAGATAGTCCAACCAACGGATCTGTTGTGGGTTGAGATTCGGTTGGGCGCGAAGGTACTGTAGGGATCGGTGGTCTGTCAATACTGTCACGTCTGCTCCCGTGAGGTAACATCGCCACACCTTGAACGCGTGCACGATCGCCAGCATTTTGCGGTCGTGTATCGGATAGTTGCGTTCGGGCGGGTGAAGCTTGCGGGACTCGTGCGCGATTGGCTGAAGGCCGTTCCCGAAGTCCTGTAGCAGTACTTCTCCCACAGTGATGTCGCTAGCGTCGGTGACGAGCTCGAACGGACGGTGCGGATCTGCGATGTGAAGTACGGGCGGTGAGCACAAAATATTTTTGAGGGCCGAGAAGGCAGCTTGCTCTTTCTCCCCCCACGTGTACTCAACCCCCTTCCTCAGCAGGTCGGTCAACGGGGCAGTCAGCTTCCCCATGTCGGGGACGAACCGGCGCACGTAGTTGACGAACCCCAAAATACTCTGCAACTCGGTCAAGTTGGTCGGCGCGTGCCATGCTTGAATCGTCGCAATCTTTTTCAGGTCTATTTCCACTCCTACAGCTGAAATAATGCGTCCCAAAAACTCCAGTCTGTCCTGTAAAAACTCACACTTAGACTCTTTTGTCAGTAGGCGGTTCTCACTCAGTATCTTAAAAATTGCTTCGATGTCCTATAAGTGCTGTGCTCTGTCAGGGCTGTAAATCAGTATGTCGTCCAGATATACGATGACGCACTAATCTAAAAGTGGGCGGAAAGCTTCGTTCATGGTCATTTGAAAGGTGGCGGGGACGTTGGTCCTTCCGAAGGGCATGACGGCGTATTCGAAGGATCCGTAACGTGTTCGGAAGGCTGTCTTAGGGCAGTCGGGTGGGTTGACGCGAATCTGGTGGTAACCTCCCCGAAGGTCAATTTTCGAGAAAACACGGGTTGTGCGCAGTTGGTCGATCAGTTCGTCGGCTCGCGGGATGGGGTAACGGGATTTGATGGTAACCCCGTTCAGTGCTCTGTAGTCTATGCACATGCGAAATCCCCCGTCTTTCTTCGGTGTGAACAGTATCGGTGCTGCGAAGGGCGACGAACTAGGGCGAATGAACTCGAGGTCGAG